TCGCGCGTTTGTTATTTTATAAAACAAATCAAAAACAGTTTTCTGTGTTTGATACTCTGATCAAAACACTTGGGATGTTGGGAGAACACTCGAGAAGCTGGAAACCACTCCGCTACGCGTCGTGGTTTCCTACGCTCCTCTCGTGTTCTCCCAACATCCCGTGTGTTTCGATCAGAGTATCAAACACGGAAAACTGTTTTTGATCTGTTAAATCAAACATGGAGCCGGTATCTTTAAAATTTCATTCAAGGGGAAATGAAATACACCCCCTCCGAAACGAACCCAGCGAGAGGTTTTTCAGTTCAAATTGATTGAATACTAATAGGTAACGAAAGAATAATATACCTCCGCATTCACGCGAGATTATTCTTTTTTGGATTAGAATATATTTATCGTAAAAACATCCGCTATAGGCAGCTTAAGATTCCCTTTTTTGTTTTCCCGCAAACGGCAAACGTGACCACGTTTTCATCGTTCCCCTACATTTCACTTTACCTTTTGTAAACCTTCTCGACAAAGACAAGTATTCTTTTGTTTATCTACTACTTGGAGATTTTTGCGATTCCTTTTCACTTATTTTAAAGAATTTTTTAATGGTCAACTGATGTTTCACGTTTGACGTAAACGAGAATCTTAAACTCTCTTATATCTCCTAAAAGATCATTTCCAGTTCAACATATTTGGATGGATGTTTTTAATAGTTTAGGAAGAAAGCTCAAAAAGCAAGATAAGAGCTAGGGATGAAATTTATAGGATCTTGCCGTCATGTGTGTAGAGCCTCGTTTTCATGTAAAATCAGGAAAAATAAAATATGACATAAAGTTTTGCCATTAAAAATTAGCTCTTTTCGTAAATGAATATCATCTTCTAGTGAAAATAGCTAAACCTTGAAGTAAAGCCACTATCTCGGAAAATTGCTTTACCATGACGACAAAATCCACATTCCTGATTATATCTTTTTGAGTCTCATCCCAGTAAACTATCAAAAACATCCAGATATATTGGTTTAGACATGATCTTATAGGTGGCAAAGGCTTTTTTCATGAGAAAGATCTTGTATCATTCTAAGATCTTGTACATTGTCTAAACAAATCAACTCGCGTGAATGCTTTACGGCCTAAGAAACCTGCTACCTTCCCACTCAAGTTTGAATGTCTTTGCGGGATACGATAGAGATCACCTTGGCTTTAGGTGTACTGAATTAACCTATGATCAATGCAAATGACGTCAGTTGAACGACGTTTGAATAGCCTATTGTTTGACCTCCTATAGTTTGTTGACCTCACGTAGTTTTTGAGCTTGTCATTAGGAAAAAAATCAATTGTCTCGCAACAGTACGTGGAGAAGGCAACCAAATACAATTAATTATTACTATGGATTACTTTTTAATTGTATCTACACACACACACACACACACACACACACACACACACACACACACACACACACCAACACATCCCGTTAGAAATTAAAATAATTGATAGTGCACATGAAAGTTGGCTTCTTTAATGTGGAACCAAACTAATTAAAAGCGAATTTTGGACAATTCTGTTTTCGCTTGCTTCGCAAAACTACTGCGTCAATTTAAACGAATTTTTCATGTGATGTGCTTTGATTATCTTAGATTCTTACAGTGCATTTTATTTTAAGATTTTTAAAGTGTTTAGCCTATTAAGTCCGAAAATCAAACAGTACTATTTTTAGTTGTTTTTTTCAAGACAAAGTCGCGCAATACTACCCAGTCGACTTCACAAACTAACCCAAGAGACTTTACGGGCATCTGCTATGGGATTCACATGCATAGTCCAATCAATTATCACGTGCCAGATGTCAGTCAGTGTCACTATGTTGTTTAGTGATTATGAGAGGGCGAAGCTAGCAGATCACGTGCCAAAGGTTTGTCTCTACGCATGCTCTATTTCGTTGACCGCCGATATTCAAGACAGCCGAACTAGAAATATCAATTTATCAATTTCGTAATTAACAAGTATTTCAATTCGAGGAGATAGCGATGATTTCGAAGCGATTATTTTTGAAAATTTTCAATGAATTTCATGGGCAATAGCTTGATTTGGTTAACTATCTATGATTCGTCTACTGGAGCAGTGTTTTCTGGACGAACAAGCGAAGATCAATAAGGAGAACAGGTTTTCAAGAGTCAGAATTACGATAAGCGATAGTATAAACAAATTCATTCAGCATGACTCGTTATTCTCTTGAAATTGACAATATAGATATTCTTATAGCCTATATTTATATATTTATATTAACTGTTTCGGCTTCAAAGTCTACTCACAAAGGAACGAAATCGATGCTCTGGCTTTAACTTAACGATCTTTTGGTTATCCATATTAAGAGTTTTACGTTTTTGTATAGAGTATTTTTACCGCAACGAAAGTAATAAAATAGATATGCTTACTTTGTTAGCAGCAAAACAGAAAATAAGCTGGACATAAGATATAAGTCGTTCCAGAACTTGATTACTCAACTATTGAATCATTAATTTTTTTAACAGGCGCTATAAACAACGAAACCAAACTGATGTTAGCTGAACTGATAATTCATTCATTAAAATGTTTTTATTTACATCAGGACTTCTAAAACGAAAAGCATAAAAGTTTTTGCTTACCAGCTTTCATGATGATGCAGAAATTTTGTCCTGATTTTGTCCATTTTTCAAAGTAAAGCCAACCAATAAAGCAAAAAAATGTCGACCATAGAGAGCTTTGTGGAAGGAATTTCCAAGAACGAAATTAGCCCTGTGGGGTGGCTTGTGGTGGGTAGTGTACACGTTACAAAATTAATCGATATCCTGTGCGGGAGAGTAGTAAGGTCGAAATTCGTTCTCGCCCGAGTCCTACGCAGGTAATAACCTTGTCAGAATATAGCAGAACATTTTCTGCAAGCGAAAAATTTTCTGCACGAAAATTTCGCTCATAGAAGTCTTGGAGGAAAAGCCAAAAGAGTTTTAAATACATAAACCCCCCATCGTAGGGATCATTTTGATCAAGTTTTTTTTTTTGTGGAGTTCGAGGTTTAAAATACGATAAAATCGTGGTTTAAAGTGAGTTGTTTTTTCAAATATGGCGACTGAAGTCAAAAGTTTCGAACCAAAATTAGATAGAAAAAAGAAGTGTTTAAAAAAAATGCACGAAGCGAAGAACTCGTTTGTTTTTGTTAAAATCGGTTTACAAAACAATCTTTTATTTACAAAACAGGAAAGAAATAGAGGATATTACATGGCCGCTTGGAGATACGAATTTTATCTTCTCGTGTTGAAAATCTCTCACTCGTTCGCTACGCTCACTCTTCAGAGATTTTCAACACGAGAAGATAAAATTCGTATCTCCAAGCAGCCATGTAATATTCTGTTTATTATATAATTATCAATGAACTATGTTTTGGCTTTTTCAGGCAATTCTTTCCGTGTATTTTTGAATAGCCATCGCAATGGTGTTATTTTCACGTGTGAAGATATCAATGTTTCTAAATAGAGAAAAATAGATATTTCATTGGTATTTATATTATAAATATGAATAACAAAGATTACTTTTGATCTTTAAAAAAGAAAAACATGTTTTTTTAGAAGTCATTTTTTTCGTCTTCAAGACTTCAAATATTTGACATTTTTTGAGAAAACAAGTAAGCATATTGCGAAGAAATTCTGCAAAACTTACATAAATCTTCAAATATCCTTTTTTTTTCAATTCCTAAACACTCAAAGTAAAGTTGAATAAGCTGTTTTTTTGTACAGAAGTATCATGTACCTCTTTACGGATAAATTAGGCAAAAGCTCTTGAAGTTTCAACATCAAGTTTCAACGTCTCTCTACTCGCTTCAACTTTCGCGAGCAGCGAGTCCTCCTTTTGCCATTCTCAACCTTTTTTGCTGGTTTTCAACTGATGAAGCTTGACTTTTTTAGCATTTTTGAATCCATTTTTAAGATGAAAATCCGCCATGTTGAATTTTCTGAGAACTTCCAGAGAGGGAAGGCTGTTCTGTTGTTATGACAACTGCTGTGATCTGATTGGCTAGTTTGAATTGGCTAGTTTCTTTTGTCTTTTCAACCAATCACTGAAAAGTGTTTCACATTTTTGCACTGGTGTTTCACATTTTTGCACTGGTGTTTCACATTTTTGCACTGGTGTTTCACATTTTTGCACTGGTGTTTCACATTTTTTCACTGGTGTTTCAGGAAAACAGCACTGCTCTCAACCAATCAGAAGTGAGAAATTTTTGCATCTATATTATTACATCAAAAATATCA